ACAATTTTTCTTTGTATGAGTGTTGAAGATAAAAACACATTCATATATTCAATTCCAATGTCAATTTGTACATATGTATTTCGTATTTACTCTAAGCGATTATTGTCTCTTCCGCTTCAGTGCTTGTTTTTTTTTCATTAGTTAGGTGATAACTAATGCGATATTTATAATTAAAATTTTACATAACTATGTGTAAAGGAATGTAAATGTATGTGGTGTATACTTGGTATTTCACGGCCATACGTAAGAGACTATTTCTCATGAGAAAAATTAGTCTAATTAATCAACTGGAAATCTACATACATACATATGTATGTATGTACATTAGACTGTACCATCTTACAAGCAAACAAAAAAAGTTTGCCGTACACCCCTGAGTCTAATTTATTTTTGCAAGGTAATCACGAAAAAAATTTTGTGTTATTTTTGTCGGACCCACGGCGAACTTTTTTCCTGGTACAGCTAATATTTTAGATATTTAAGATCGAAGAAGAGTGGCCGCCTGTGCCGAGTGGTTAGGTAGAGGTACATATTAACACCCGTTAGACCCAAGAATCGATCCCTGGTCAGCGTAAAATCAAAAATGTGATACGAAAAGCTTTTTGCTATCAGTTAGCTTTTTCATACAAATGTACGTTAGGATGTACCACTCTAAATGCCAAAAAATCGGTACTGTTTTTCTATCGGAATTATAAAGTTAATTATATTTTAAGACGTCTGCCAAAATATTTTGAAAAACTATTAAGATTTACGTGAGCTGAAGCAATTTAACAACACCTCCAAAAATCTAGTTTTTTGTTTTATAAATAAAATAAGTTTTCAAAAATATTTTTTATAAAAAAATTAACTCAGATGATAGCTTAAAGCGTTTTTGAATATACAGGTACTTGCTACATATGTATGCAGGTATACCCCCAGATTTCGATCCGATTGGATACTCTAACAAAGTCAAGGAACGTTTTTTCTTATATTCGGTGATAGGGCAGGATAGTCGAGGCGAATTCTACTGAAATATGTAGGCCTCGTTTTTCTAGATATCAGGCAGGTCGTACATTGTATTTATCTTTCAGTTGCTAGTGCAAAGAAAAAATCTTTCAAGCAAAGCTAACAAGTGGCAAAAGGTATACTAGATCGATCCTTTTCTAGAACAATCTGCTTGGTCTAACCAGGTGGAGTGCAATAGCTTTTAAGCCACACCGTCCTGGCTGATAAAAAAAAAAGCTGTAAAGCTTGCATTAGGCAATTATATAAAGGCGATTAAAGTAAAAAAATAAAGTTACCTCAATGGCTTTGTATGGACGTCCTAACTATTGCTTTCCGGTCAATGACCGGGCATCGTTCTAAATAAATTGTGCTAAATCTACGGAGCAAATTAAAAATTATTGTTCGATAGTAATAAGTGCAAAGTATCCTTGCTATGTTACACGATTGAACATGTGATGTTTTGTGTCTCTAATTTATCCGAGTGAATAACACCGTCCAAACACTTGGCTTTTTTCAAGACCCTGTATGAACACTAACGTTAGCCGACGTTAGTGATAGGCAGTATGAACTTTACTCTATATACAGTATACAGCTGGCACGCTGCTGGGCGAGGTACTGGCCAACACTGTTATATACGATTCTAAATAGGGGAGACTTTCACAGCAGCCGATAAAGCAGTCATTTCTCTAGCTAATGGTGAGGGCGGGCATTCTATTTAATATTCAATATACATACTAAATATATGCAAAATACAACTGTTTCTAGGTGTGAGAAAATTTTCACACTTACGGGTACTATCATCTACCACAACTATTTCCCACAATGAGCCATCTTAATGCGGTGTAATAATTTAAGTTAAAATTGAAATTTAATTAAAGTCTCTGCACCAAAAACCACAAAGCGGCTGCCATAAATGAGTACTATTGCTATTACAAATGTGTTTTATGTGAGGCGTAACCGGCCAGAAAAAAAAAAAACAAAAAGCAAAAAATATGAAAGAAACAGAAAACACTTACTAAGAAAGCTCATATACACACACACACACACACACACACACGCAGAAAATATGCTTGTGTACAGTAAAACGCAAAATGTGACATTTTAGTTAATTTTCGTATGCTTTTTAGGTACTATTGGGTGCTTTATGGCCGTCAAAAGCTTTCAAATAAACACTTGTGTGCTTGTGTATGTACTTGTTTGCGTGTGTGAGAGTATTGGTACTTAGCAGTAGCAATGCATACAGACATACATTCCTACAAACATACTTCTTAGTTTGTACATAAAAGCGCAAATGTTGCTTATAGATACATATTTAGTTATTTGCACCATGGCAGACATAAATGCGAATGGCAACAAATAAAGCCAACATTTTTATGAGCTGTTATTAGCAATTGCAAATTATTGCATGAGTACTAAAAATTGCGAACTATTGTCTGCTGGCCGAAGAAGGAGACGCTGCTGTTGCAGTATCTACAACAAAGTGACATAGACAGACGGCTGGGGAGGGGGGCGTAGTTAGACGAATGATATGTATTATGTGTAGAATGCGAAAATTCAGCAGCAATGTAAAATTGGTTAGGCGATAAATTGGTAAAGTAGGGTTAACTAACTTTTCCGCACATATATGTACAGTAGGGTGGAACATAAACAAAAAATTGTGCGTTTAGAAATTCTAGTCACGGGGAATTATTGCTTTTCGACGTCAATAGAATACCTCTATATATTTTTTTAAACGGTCTAATACTTTTTGCCTCTAGAAGTATCTAAAAATTACGCTTGATTTTTAACAATTTTTTTCTGCGTACAACCATCAAACAAAAAAAGAATAAAAACAATTAAAAAATCTGCTGCATTTTCGTGTAACTTTAAACTTGCACTTTATTATAAAAATTTTAATAGCCTTCAAAACTGCGTACTTCAATTTTTTCTTTAGAATTCAAAAAATCACAAAATTTAATTCAAAAAGGGAAGGCAGCAAGTATTAATCGATTACAAAAAAATTTAATGCTCTTAAAATTTTGAAACGCAAAATTTTTTGTTTCTGCTCCACCCTAACGTATGTACCTACATTAAAAAAAAATTGTCGAAAAAAGCTGTTCCGTCTTGTTTGAGAGATAGACACAGACTCAGCATGCAAATCATACGCGTTGACTAAAATTATAAAAAAAATATCTGCTAGTAACTGTTATTCGGGGCGTTGGCAACCACACGCCAGCCTCAGTGGGACCACCATGGCGTATACGCATAAAATTGTTTGGTATGCACAGTTAAAGCAAAGCTTTTCCATTTTTTCTCCACTTTTTTTGTAATTATAAACCACTCATCATGCCACATTGTTGCATGCCACAATGTGTATGCACAGGACATACATACATATGTATGTAGCTGCAACCAAAACATAACTTATTTTTATAATTGATTGCCGCTGCAGCTGACATCTAGACACCAGTTAGCAAGCAGCCAGCCACAAGCTGCTTTTGTGTCAGCACAAATAAAAGAAACAAATTTCAAAATAAATAAAATGCAATAGAAATCGTTGCAGCCAGCATATATTTGCGGTCGCAAGTATTTTTCCAATCTTTGTGGCATGCAACTGCATAATAGTTTGTTCGTTAGTTAGAGTTCGTTAGACAGTTGGTGGCTTTCTGCAGTTACCGCCCATAGCTGGTCGCAGGGTGCGCGACGATGAACGAAAAGGGCGCGGTCAAATGTCTGTCACATAAAATGTGTCGTCAATTCGAGACAACAATAATGTATGTAGTAGTAGCAGTAACTGCGGCCAACAAGACGTTTCACATTGCTGTGCTTTACTACTGCGGATACTGGTTGTTGACGATTCGTTTATTACTTTTTTTCTTGCAAAAATGGAGATACACGCGCCAACAAAATTTAATTGCTATGGAATTATAACCTTTCTCAAAATATATTAAAGTAATAAATTATTGTTCGAAAAAAGAGCAGAATTTTTACAAACAACGAGCCTTAAGGCATTTTGGTGTTCGCATTAGATCCACCTAAGCTTTGACGAAGCTTTATGATCTCTAAAAGAGTTTACCCACTTTCTAAAAGCCAGTGAGGACATAAACTTACGAAGCTTAGTCCTTAATAGGATTAATGATTTCTACGACCATTTTGCTCAATCTGCTCCCATAACCCGCCAAGTCTGTGGGGCCCTGAGAAATCTTTTATTTTCAAGCATTTACGACGATAACAAATTCCGCTAGATAAGCTGTTTAAAGTTTTCTATACATTAAAAAAACAGATCTCTACACTACGCCTACCTCTTCATATAAAATCTAAAAAAAACATTAATGAAATTCTTCCGCCGAATGTGCCTAAAGTATGATCCACACAAAATGATGATGGACATTGCCTTACCAGTTTTCTGAGCTTTTTATATAATTTATATAAACTTTCGATGACCAAAGAGAGCTTTTACTCTGTGCAAGTTCATAAAAATCTATAGAAAGTTTCGCCACCGGTATGGGTTTTAGTTGTGATAAACATATAAATGCGAAACGTGAAAGCTCTCTCTTTTCATTACTGATATCAAATCAATATAAAGCATAAAAAAGCTTTTGGGCTCCATACATTTTATATAAACGTAGTCCGCGGTCGATAGTTTTTAAAGTTTTCGCAAAGATTAAAAGCTTTCCGTGTCATCACTGTTTTAGATAGACCTATGATGGCACCTGCTTGCCCGCCTGCATAGCATGTTAAGCGTTCATTATATTTTGTACTGTCGTGCAAATCACCTATAGAAAGCTTTTTAAAGCTTCTTCAGCGGCATATATTCTGGTCGAGACTGTTATAAAGGCATAAAATTTTCTACTTCTTCGTAGTCTCTGTAGCTCTGTCCCCATCACGGCCCAAATTCAGAAAAAGGATTTTAATCTAATAAGAGGCCAATCTGCGGAGCATTTTAAGATTTCGATTCATTTTGTATGTAAGTGCTCTAAGTAAAAGCTTTCTCTGTTCATGGTTGTTTTAGTGTTAAAAAAATCTCAAATACTTACTGTGTTCTCAGCGTGAATGCAGCGCTCGTTATGCTCGATGGTAAATGTAGTCCTTTTATGATTTCCTGCCATAATTTCTTATTGATAACATCAACTAGACCGCCACGTGCTATGACCAAATTATATAATTCATATAAATCTAAAACGGATTTCGCCATTATTGGTAAACGATTGATGGGTGTGCCTGCAAGTGGAAGCAAAACAACAGAAACAGTTAAAATATGGTAAAATAATTATCAAGAAAGTCATAAATATTTATAACTCACATAGGAAATTAAATGACTATTAGTAGCGATAAAATTACTAGAGAAATAGCTATAAATATTCATGATGTGAAATTTCTATGCAAATATGTATGTATGTATGTAGATATATGTATATAAAGTTTTTATATTATAAACACACATATATGCATAGATGTGTAAATATGTACAATATATTTACCGCAAATATACACACTTATCGAATAGTTTTCATGTGATTATTTTCGCTTTTTCAATTATTTTTCATTTGATTCCAATCAATTTCGCATAAAAACACGTAATTTTTAAACAGAAAAACAAAACCGACTTCAATTGTCATATACAAATTTTATATTACCGTTAATTTCTTCATGATCGTGATGAATTAGTATGGGACTACCTGTGAGGTAGCACCTTTCCTTTATAGAAATCGGTTAGCGCGGTCCAAAGTTAAAATAAAATTATAGTTTAAAAAACTAAAACCTCCCTATTATAATTGCCATTTGTACTGTCATGGTGGTGCATCTTTTAGGCGCATCAAGAATACATAGTTACATCCCGAGCTAATAAAAAGAAGGTAAGAAAAAAACTATCCCGACGAACTGATAACCTTTTCCTTTTTGTGAAGTCGGTTAAAAATAAATGCACTCACAAAAAGCTCATCCAATTTTTTAGGTAGAAATTCTTGGTCTCATTCTTTTTCAATACTGTTATTAAAACATTCGTCAAACGATTTGACAGTAATCGATAATTATCGAAATATTATTTGATATTTATCGATTGATGCAGTGATTTTTATCCATAGGTGCAGTGATAATAATAATATAATAGATTGGCGCTTACACATATGTATGTTAGTGTTTGGCCGAGCTTTTCCTCCGATTTGTGGCGTGCGCCTTGATGTTGTCACACAAAGACCTACACTCTCCGAACGGCGATTGTATTTTTATGAGAAGCTGTTTTTCATGGCAGAAATGCACTCGGAGGTTTGCCATTGCCTGCCGAGGGACGACCGGTTAAGAAAAAACCTTTTTTCTATATTTTTGCGATGTTGCTTTGACCAGGGTTTGAACCCAGGTGCTGATGAGTGAAAGCGCGCACTGCTTACAACTACACCACAGCGGCCGACAGTTATCGATACACTTCAAAAGCAGCTAAGTACGCCTAAATACTTCTTAGCCCAGTAAAATTAGACTTTTAAAAAAAAAAAAATGGAACAGGAATCCTTTGATGCAGTTTACTTCTACATATTTTACATGTAGATCATGGATCCAGTCTTGCCCTTAGATTCCATTTGCGTGCGAAACAGCGATTAGCCCAGAAAAATTTGTTAAATTTAGTAGGATAATTAAAAAAAAAAAATTATAGCAGCGATTTTTTGATGCAGTTTACTTCTATTTAACACGTAGATCGTGGATCCACAGCATCGCAACGCAACATTCCGTCATCTTGTATTTTATGTTTTTTTTTTTGGTTTTTTGCAATTTGCAAGCTAATTTTGCATTTTTCATAAAAAGTGGTTATAGACCAATGAGTAGAGAATTCAATTTACCACATTTGTTATAAAGGAGGTTTTTTAAAGACAACATTTTTTATTGTAAAAAATAGTAAAAACTGCAAAAAAATTTTACATTGTCTCGGTTTTCGCCTTTTTTGACAATTCTGTTGAAAATACATAGCATATTGAAATTCCAAAGTTTTAGAGAATTTCATTCTCCAAAACTTTTGTGCTTACATTTTTTTTGTACAATGCGATACACATAGCGAAATTATTAATAAAAGTCACGTTTTTTACGCCATGATTAAATCATGTTCAGCAATGAGAGAGGATTATATTTTTTCTCTACGTTCATTTTGATTTCAAATTCTTATAGTAATATAATTTGTATCTCTCTCTCTTGTAGTCTCTGAAAAAAAGTTGTTGAAAGAAAAAACATATAAAATATTTGAGCTGATTGTTGAGGTTTTGATACAGTAGCCCTTATAAGAAAAACCGTATGAGCTTGTTGAGAATGTATCTAAAATACAAATATGAGTAATTTGAGTATAAGTGATCAATACTAAGTAATAGAAAATAAAAGTCGATTTATATTTATCTATTGCATACTTTGTTACTGCAATAAAAAAAAACAAATGCTATAAACATTTTTATTGCAAAGTAGCATAGACGCACATCGTCGTAAATACTATTGAAAGTTTGAATGAATGAATGTATACAATGTATACATTAGGGATGTCAAGATCTGCGGAAAATTGTGATCCCGAGATTTCGGGATATTTTTTAACTAATCCCGGATCAGAACCACATAGGTTGAATTATTATCTAAATATTTAACTTTTTCGTCTGAATTTTTAGAAAAATTTTAGGTATGCAGATACATCGGCTGTGTAATAAAAAATAAAGAAAAGTAAAAAATATTCCAGAAAATTAAAAATTAATAAAGCAGTTAATTAAATTTTCTTTTTCTAAAATTACAATTATCTCTGAAAGTATTAGTCCTACATTATTTGGTATCATAACCCTTTTGGTAGAGCATTAAATTTGTGATCGAAGTAACTAAGAATTTTTTTTTGCTAGCACATTTAATTTTAGTAGACTTGGGCGAGCCTGATATTGACCACAATTTTTCATCTTTCGCACAGATTTTTTTTTAGAGCATAATGAACCATATTTTTTCTATTCGAAATAGAAACACAAAAAAGCGGATTTACGGCCCACTTTTAAATTTAGATGCAAATAGTAATGATTAATAAAAAAAAAAGTATTAAACAATAATATACAAAACAAGTTCTTTAAACATGTTTATTCTATTTAGTCCATAGAAAAATGGCGAATGGCGAATTTATTGTAATTTTTTCCCAATTTACTCAACATTTTGATGGTGTTGGCATTTTACATAAATCATAATTCAAATTCATACACAAGTTCTTACTACTAATTCGATACTTAAAAATTTTCTGGATCCCGGGATTAATGCAAGCAAATCCCAGGATTTTCGGGACGTCAAAACCACCGGGATCCCGAGCTTGGAATCCCTATTATACATATGTGTATGTACGCTTGTAAGTAGCGTAGCTAACAGTAAGTACAAATAAAAACAAATCGCAGCGAATCACAAGCAATTAAATGCATAGAAAAAACAACTGCATACTCAAAACATGCTAACAACAATAATAAAACCAATGAAAATTAGTAAACACAAACGCAGACAAATGAAAAACGAAATTTTAATTGCCAGCAATCAATTTAATTACAGTACAATTATTATCAAATGATCATAAGAACAGCAACAATAAAAGCAACAACACTAATAGCAATAGCTATAACAACATGTTTGTTGTTGTTGCTTCGAATCACATTCATCATAAAAATAGAAGAAAAACATAGAAACAAAATGGCACTAAATGATCGACGTACAAGTGCATGGACGGACAGCCAAGCTAACTGGCTGACTGATGTTAGACGATTAGAGTCTAATCATCAGACGATCATACGATCAGCGGACCACTTGTCTATCTACACTTTAACACCTAAAACTATTGAACCAATCTATAAATTGATCCGATCGCAAAGAAGTATCGATCATCAAACGATCATCATGATGATGGCAAATGATGATAATGATGAGCACAGCGGAACATATCGGCGAGTAATTGCTGGAAACGAAAGTGTTAAATACTCAACTGAGCGTAACAACAACAAAATCAATAAAAATAGATTTATCTGTTAAGAACAACCACAACAAGAAAATAAAACACTGACATCGTATGCAATAAAAGTCGGGCAGAGAGACAGACGGACGGTCGGACATACACATACATAGACAGTTTTAGTTCAAGCCATTCACTCGATTTTGGCTACAATAAATATGTAATAGATTGGCGTGGCAATTAGAAGAGTAGGCAAAAAACGAGCAGCGATGAGGCGTAGATGAAGACAAACGCTTGCCCGGGTGTAAAGCAGAGATCGCAGCGAACCGTTTTGTATTTGAAGCGAGCGAACTGTTGCAACAAAGCGTGTGTATAGATCAGGAGAAGAAATATGATTTGCCAACGGCAGGCAATTGATCTTGCAGTGATCGAGAGTTGCAGCGATCGTTAAAAATACAAAATATAATAAGCAGCGAAAAGGTAATTAGATACAAATTATGGGCCAAGAGGGAAATGCAAATGATCCAGCATTACCAATTTTTTTTTTTGGCTAAACGCCTACAATCACAACTGGTGCAATCGATCATGCACAGCTACACCTACAAGCTGCAGATAAATATACATACATACATAAATATGTATATGGACGTTGTATGAACGAAAGGAAATAAAATTAAATCGAAGGCGATCAGCTAATGGTCATAAAATTCAGTTTAATAAAAAAGTAATTTGTACGCACGCGTTTTTCGTTTCTTTTTTTAGTATTTTTTCGAATTTCCTGCTTGAATACTCGATCGTTTTTTTTACGATTTAGCCCCAAAGGAATCAATCAAACTACAAATGATCGACATGTTGATTGAATGAAAAAGTTGTTGTGTTGTGATGTGTGGTGTTATATGTAGCTTTAATGTGTAAACAAGAGCGAAAAAATGCGCCTTCCAGCGACGGGTGAATCGATCAGTGCGCGATCGTTGTAGAATTCAAATTCAAATAAAAATTGGAAAAATAATGTTGGGAAATAAAAAGTGAGAAATTACCAAATGATTGAATGTTGCGTGCAATGCACATACACACACACCACACATATGTATGTAGGTTGGCAAGGAGGCAGGCGGCAGCGGCGAGGCTGGACGTAGAGGCTAAACGATCGAAGTGATCGATGCAAGTTTAAAGTAAGTGTGTATGTGTATACATTTGTATGTAAATGCATAGCATGATAGTTTAGCCCTACGCGCATAAACCAAAGTTGGAGTGCAATTTAATGATGCTTAAGGAATAAGAGGCGAAATAAAATACGAATATTTACTTAATTATGTTGCAGCTAAGCGGCAAGTAAAAAATTAATTGCATGTCAGATGGCGAGTGAAGTAAGCGAACGCCAAAGAAAGT